GGATTTCCGGTATTACGGTTTTAGCTCTTGTAATTCTTTTTAGGGAAAAGGAGCAAAAAAGCCCCTGAAGTTGTCACTAAAGAGGACTTGTGCAAAAAACTTTAAAATCACAAACAAGAGGGCAATCACCCCCTTTTCGTTACTAACTAATGGTGAACCAACTAACCGAGTTGGCACCTACGGAGTACATAGTACTGTACGTAGTTAAAAAGTTTGCTCTATGATCGTTTATAACAAATTAAATTCCAATAGTGTCTTTGATTTTTTTTTTTTAAATTTCAGCTTGTGATCTATTAAATAAATAAATCTAGAATATTTTGCTCATTAAATCAGAATGGATTTCATCTGTTTTTAAATAAGTGCAATGTAACATGTCAACTTTTACACTATTCACATACTCTACTTTGACTGCGTTTTTTATTAATATATTAATGAATTATTTTTTAAACATTTTTTACATTTTTCTCATTGTAAATTTTCAAATTCTGATTTTTACTAATAGAGAATAATTTGCTAATTGACTTATTAAGGACTAAGTGCTCGTTTGGTGGTTCTATTTTTCGTTCTATCAAATTTATCAGTCAATTTTTTCACCAAACACGTAACTTTAATTGTGCACACTGAATTGTGTAAGAATAAGAAAAAATGAAGTTGAAGTTACTTTTTGATTGAATTGGTTGAAGTTATTGTAGATTATCATTTTAGTTATTTTTTCAAATTACTAATTTTTTCTATATTTTATTAATAAAATATATTTTGGATGTAGTTTTTTTTTCATAAATTAGCATGACCAGTCAATACAACCAATTTGTGTATTACCAAACGGACTCTAAAAGTCACTTGAACAAAATCAAATGCACGAATAAGGAAGTATATTTATCTAGAAGTGGAGAAAACTTGTGCTAGATAGATTGGCTCAACCCAAGGTATCTCATTAACGAACATGATAGCACCAGTGATGTGTAAGGAATTTTCACTAAATTCTTAATATATTCTTAAAAACGGAATAAAATTGAACCGAACTAAAATGTTCAATAAAATTTATGATTTAAAAAAATCACAAATCCAAACCGAATCAAATCAAACTGAGACACAATACTATGTATGATTTTTCTTGGTTCACAGGTGGCAGCACAACCGCATCTGACTGCTATATCGGTGTGTTTTCGAATCACGAATGTATACTCCCTTCAGGGATGTATATCGGTGTGATTTTATATTGTATATATAATATTGTCATAAATTTCATATTTTAATTACATATATATGTGTTCGTCCCCATTAATTGACTTTGACTTTTCAAAATTAATATATAGTGTTACATAATGTAATACGTAATACTTAATAGGGGATCTAAAAGGAGAAACATCTAAAATAATTTATCATTACTTGAAAAACAAACAATATAACAACACATAGGCTTAAAACTCATTACAAAGTAATAGATTTAGATGTCATGTATGTACCAATGGATTTTTCAAAATAAAAACTAGTCGCAGAGCTGACGTGCACTTTGTCGTGAGGTGCACTCAAAGTAATAATACAATACGACACTAATACGTAGTATAGTGTAGTAAGGTTCGTATCCACAGGGAAAGGAATACTTTTCTTCTTACAGAAATAGATAAGTAACAATAAGGGGGGTTTATATTTGGTTGATGAACTTTAAATTATATTTAAATACGAGGATGAACGAGTTATGTGGTTTAATTAATGAGAAGAAGACTTGGCTTTGCTTTTATCCACTTAATGAAATGTTCGTCGATCCCGGTTATATCTTTAACTATCTTCCTCTCGAATACTCAATCGAGGAGTATATCCAATTCATCGAGGGTAGTTATTAATAACGAGACGCGTTCATTAATAAAACTTACTACCGAGTTAATATAGAACACGCGCCGTATATTCACTCGATAGTAGCAATAAAATCAAGATGAAAACGATTGAGATTGATAACCTCAACACAAGCAGTTTAATCAATATAATTAATTCCCCTTGGTTTATTAACCATGAAACGCATGCATTAATAACACAAGTTTACTACCGCGAAAGGACCGAATTAATAACAAGCGTATTAATCGACCGATTCTAGTAATAATTAATATATGAAACAAAACTAGTTGATCCTTTAAGTAATGTTCAAAATATTAATATAAAATATGAATAGGAATTAATTAATACTCAAGGAAGAATATTAAAGAAGATGAATCCTACTATAGTTAATATCAAGATGTTAACTAATTGTCATCTTAGTAACACTCCCCGATATTAACGTAGAGGAAGAAATAACTATTACTATAACTAATGTCAAGATGTTAACTAATTGTCATCTTAGTAACACTCCCCAACATTGATATAGAAATAGTATTTAAAGAAAGAGTTAATATTCAAGGAAGAAGATTAAAGATAATAACTCACAACTTACAAATTCATTAAGCTTCAAAGTAGCAAAACCAAGATGGAAGAGTTTAGCTCCTCATTTGGAGACTAAACATGATAGAAAATACAAAGAAAACACTAATCTAAACTGAGCTAAAGAGTATATGTGAATTGGTGATTTTATTGTGAAGGAAAGGGGTGTATTTATAGGCTTTTGGGAGCTGCAGGGTCTGATACCTGACCGGGTATATAGGATACCCGACCGGGTATCTCAGGAAATTGCCCAGAAAGTGATTTTTCTGTGCATACCCGATCGGGTAAGGGTATATACCCGATCGGGTATGTGACAAATCTTTATGAAAATTTGCTCCCACGATCATTTGTCTTCGGATTTGATTTGGACAGTCGAATCAAGCAATTACCCGATCGGGTATAGGCAATACCCGACCGGGTACATGAGTATTTTTTCCAAATCGAAATCTTTCTTGTCTCCTTGCACTTTCCTTGATCTTTTAAGGTCCAATCTTGATCCTTTAGATGATCTTTGACCTGTTTAGCTCAGAAAAATCCTAATCTAACTAAATTACAAATAAAAAATGAAAATAAAGTATTACACCAAAAGTGTGTAATTTTCACAACTAGAACTAATAAAAACTAGTTAAAAATACAAATATACAATTGGAAATTACATGAATATCAAGAGCCCTGCACAAGCCATCCCCCATCCAACACTAGGAAAAATACTTTCCCCGCTACACCAACGATAAAAATTTAGCCCGAAATCATGGATCCGTCCTTGACTCACTCCATGTCTCCATCCCTAAATTATTTTACAAAGTGAGTTTTGCACGGGAATTAAGATATAGTGAAAATTGTATATTGGAAAGTTGTACCGAAGAGAGATAAGCATGTGAGATTGTGTAAAAAAATATTGTGAACCATAAATACTTTACCAAAAAAGAAAAAGAAAATTGAGACGGACGAAAAAAGAAATTTGAAAGATAATTTAGGGACGGAGCGAGTAGTATTCTCTATTAGTAAAAAAAATAAAAATAAAAATTAGAATTTGAAAATTTACAACAAGAAAAATGTAAAAAATGTTTAAAAAATTATTTATTAATATATTACTAGTAATGAATAAAGCGTAGTCAAAGTAGAATATGTAAATAACGTAAAAGTTGGCATGTTGCACTTATTTAAAGACGGATGAAATCTGTTCTGATTTCATGACCAAAACATTCTAAATTAATTTATTTAATAAATTACTAGCTGAAATTTAAAAAAAAACAAACACTATTGGAATTTAATTTGTTATAAACAATCATAAAAACCAAAGGAGCAAACTTTCTAATGTACTACGTACAGTACTATGTAGTTGCCAACTCTAATAGTTGATTCACGTTCGTTAGTAACGGAAGGGGGTGATTGCCCTCCTCTTTGTGATTTTAAGGTTTTTTGCACAAAAATAAAGTTTAAGGGCATAAGTGCCCTTTGGTGACAACTTCAGGGGGTCTTTTGCCCCTTTTCCCTTCTTTTTTGGGTCAGGCCTAGCCCCCCCATTTTTTCTTTTTCTTTTTTTCCGTTGGTTTGCTGTATTAGAGGTTTTGGTTTGGTCCCCCTCTGTTAATTGTAATCAGAATTATCCTTAATAATACTCTGGTAAGTGTACTCCGGCATTTACCCCACTGATTTTGGCGGTTTACCTTCCAGAGGAAAAAAAAATTGAAAAACATGACAACGAATTAGAAGAAATTTATTAGTCGAGGTTATTTCAAGAACAAACACATGTTGTTATTATCGATGATGAACTAAAAGGAAAATCAAATTAAAAATATGTATCGGAAAAATTAAAAAAATAAAATAAAATTCTTTTTGAAAAACATGACAACGAATTAGAAGAAACTTATTAGTCGAGGTTATTTCAAGAACAAACACAGGTTGTTATTATCGATGATGAACTAAAAGGAAAATCAATACAAATTTCAAGGATGAAAACCAAAACAAAATAATATTATAGGGATTTAAATAAAACGTAGATAGTGTTAAATTTACATAGACTAAAAACATATTTAAAAAGAAATAGGTTATGAAGTGAATTGTCATTTACAGATCAAGTATTATCACTTTTGGGAAAACTGTCAAATAGGTCCTCGAACTTTCATAAAAAAGTCAATTAAGTCCTTCCATAGGAGACTTTGTCCGGTCGTCGCGATTTGGGGCGGTTCCCGGTGGAATTTTTTGATGAAATGTTTTGAGCATCTTATTCTTCAAGTCTAGTTTACTCATATCAAGTTTTAGCTAAAAATTTAATCGGGAGCGCATTCAAATTAATTCGAGAACGCAAAAATGCGCAGTTATCTTCAAGAATTAATTTGAATGTGTTCCCGATTGAATTTTTAGCTAAAATTTGATATGAGTAAACTAGACTTGGTGAATAAGATGCTCAAAAAATTTCATCAAAAAATTCTACTGGGAACTACCCCAAATCACGACGGTCGGACAGAACCTCCTATAGAAGGACTTAATTGACTTTTTTATGAAAATTCGAGGACCTATTTGACAGTTTTCCCTGTCACTTTTTATTACGGAGTACTATATAAAAGTCCATTCCTTACCATAGCTTTAAAATTTCAACAACAAACAAACAAACTAGGACACATCTAGAGAGAGGGTGTCTGAAAAGGTCTATCTTTCTGTTTAGGCTTTCATATTCCATGTGAAAGCTGCTGAGAAAAGGTTATTTGTACTTTGTTTCTGGTGTTATGTGTTCTCGGCATCTTTTACAGTCAGATTTTGCAAAAGGTTAGATTTTCTGACCCTTTTCCCTTTTTCCTTTTTCCACCTGAAATATGGTTACTTTTTTCTCTATCGATCTCCTTCTGATTTGGTGAAAATTTTCGAGTTTTAATGAACACCAAAGCTATCCTGTTGGTTTTTTTTTGCCTTTGAATGGTAAGATTTCTTGTTTGTGATCATTTCTTCTCATGTTGACTGGATCCAGTTCTTAGCTTAATTATTTACTGTATATTTTCATCAGTTCATTGTACCCAGTGGTTTAGTAAGATCAAAGTAGTTCTTTCCTTCAAAAAGTTAAGGATCTAAGTTTCTTTATAAATTTTTTATTCTTTTTATTCAATGTATCAGGAGACGGATAAATTTCTCCATTTGTTTTTACTGAGGTTGGAGGTTAGAATGACTAGGAACCAATGGATGTCGTGTAAATTCTACAGTTTTTTCTTTCTGATTATTGGAAATTAGTTTTTTTCTATTAGTCTTTTTTCTTTCCTTGATGAACCGGTGAAAGATTGGTCTATTATTATTGTTGTTGTTTTTGTTGTTATTTCATCAAGAGACAATTTCTCATATGTTATTATTGTCTTGGGTTCAGTAATGAAAGCTGGAGTGGCTCAAAAATTGATTTGTATATTTGGCCAGCAGGACTAAACAATTCCAGCATATACAGGAAATAATTGATGCTATTTTTTCCAGCTGAAATGCTGAGAATTATATCGTAGAAGACTTCGGGGGCTTGGATATTGAAGAAAAGAGAAGGGAATAATAAGGATGGGTTATATGTGTGAATTTTGCGGAGAAGAGAGATCTATTGTATACTGCCAGTCTGATACTGCTTGTTTGTGTCTGTCCTGTGACCAAAATGTTCATTCCGCAAATGCCCTCTCGCGCCGCCATCTCAGGACACTTGTATGTGAAAGATGTAACGGGCAACCCGCTTTCGTTAGATGTATGGAGGAAGGGGTATGTCTATGCGAGAGTTGTGATTGGGCGGGGCACTCGGGTGGGTCAACCCACAAGAGACAAGCAGTTAGTTGTTATTCGGGCTGTCCTTCGGCTTCTGAGCTTTTGGCGATGTGGTCTTTTTGCTCTGAATTCACTTCGGTCAGTGATGATTTCGCTTGTGAACAGGGAATGGGTTCAATGTGCATCACTGATAGCCAAGGAGCACCTGAAAGGAATAACAACTTCAATGAAGATGTGGGTGAAGGCGAAGACATAAAATACGAGAATATTCGAGTGGTGCCACAAAACAGAGCTACCAGCTCCGCTTCAACCAAGGTATTTTAGGATCTAGTATAGCTTATTCTGTCAGAATATGGCATACTTCCTTTGTCCCAAACTTAACGCATGCTTTAGTAAACTGCATATACTTAAGAATAAAATAACATTCCTATCCCTATAAAAGATCAACAACTCAACATTAAATTATTCTTATGTTTTTTCAATACAAAATAACATTTCATAAGACAAAACAGCAAATTTGGGAGATGAATACAAAATAGCTATTGAATTCCTAAATGAAAATTAATTTTGGACAAAAGGTATTGGCTATAACTACAAATAATTTGGGATAAAGGGAGTAACTCACAACTTTTGACTTGCTTATTTTGCTAAAAAGAACATTGAGACAGTGCTCTTCATTTAAGAAAAGTTAGCAGATTCAGCTGGCCAGTTCAGTCTAATAGCTCTTACCAAATGTGCCCTTAATTTTTGGATAATATTTTTTGGTTAAATGAAAGTTGATTGTTAAATGTTCAAAACTTGTGGTGCACAGAACTGTTGGAAAATGATGTTTTGGTTACTAGGAACTTCTAGAAATTGTAAACTTTTTGAGAAAAAATTGCTTCCCCTTTTGACTTAGCATGTTAACATTATCCCTTAAACCTCAAGTAAAGCTTGTCATATAGCTAGCCAAAAACGTAAGACAAAAATATAGATCTTAAGCCCCATTGTGCTGTTGCATTGAACTTGTTTAGAACAAAGGGGCTTGATGATTATGCTAATGCTAACATTTATCAACTCTTAAGAACTACATTGGCTTCTTCTCAGGTTTGCTGTTCTGGAACTAAAGGTCAGAGTTTCTGCGAAGATGGTTCTTTTAATATGGGTTTCGATGTGGATGAAATTGATATTGGTTTTGAAAACTACGAAGAACTATTTGACATGTCTCTTAACAATCAAGAATGCATGTTTGAAGATGACCTGTTCAACACGAATGATATTTCCAGTTCCCAGGTTGTTGTCATCAATTCTCTCTTGGCCTATTTACTTCCGTTTTACAATACCTCCCATTGTACAAATTCTCACTTGTACCCATTCTCTATCTCAATTTTCAAATAAAGTACGAGTAACATTTAAGGAACCATTTGAATCCTGAAAAATACTACGGAAAGAAGATAGGAAAGGAAATCATAGTGGAAATTTTGGATATTTATTGATACCTTTGTTAAACCAATTAATTAAAAAATAATTTTCCTAGGGTTATTTCCAGGAATGGAAACTAGCTAAGGGTGGATTACGTCTAGTAGAAATTTCTGTCTTGGAAGACAATAGTCATCTTAATTATTGCAATCCAAATTACCTGACCTCTTCATTTTACATGTTATTTGGTCCTCTAATTCATTAACATTTTCAATCACCACAAACATAGGGGAAAGCAATGCAACCAACATACAGCAATGCTGATTCCAGAACAGAACCTAATCTTTGTTACACCAGAGAGGGCATTACGGAGGATTGTCATCAGGACCGTGTTGCTTCCTCGATGATCCTCATGGGAGAGCCACCGCCGTGGACCTCCCCGGCTTCTGATAATTTAATGCCATCCACTATTAGGAGCGATGCTGTGTTACGCTACAAAGAAAAGAAAAAGACGCGCAAGTATGGTCTTTTCTTCTTCATATTTAAATAGATCAAAGTCCAGCTACCAAGTACTGTTCCTCATGCTCCGTTTGGTAGTCATAACCGGCTTGTTTTGCTTATAAGTAGAATAAGAGAATAAGGCTTCAGTTGGTTTCCAATATCTGCTTATTCTACTTACCAGATTAGCAAAACAATAAGAACTTGTGGAGCTGGGACTTATTTGCTTGAAATTAATGTAACCAGATGTTTTTTCTTCCAAGAAAAATTAGCAAATTGCCAGATATGATATTTCACCAAAATAATCAAATTGGCCCTCATAACCATCTATTTCATTTCCTTGCTGGTAATGTTATAATAGGTTTGAAAAGCAAGTTAGGTATTCGTCGCGCAAGGAAAGAGCTGATGTTAGACGGCGTGTGAAGGGGCGATTCATCAAGGCTGGTGACGCTTATGATTATGATCCACTCACCCCTACCAAAAGCTACTGAGTATAATTTTTCATCTTTACATATGAAGGAAAAGACACACACACACACACATCCAAGCAGATATATCTGGAAGAACTTATTATGTATTTTTTTTTTTGAACTGGTGGTAGGTATTTTCATTCTTTATCGGGGAATCTCAATCTGATCTCATTTTGAATGGAGAATATTGGGTATATCTCCCTCATGGGTGAGCATATGATTGGGCGCAGCCGAGGTTTTCTTACAACATCGCCACAGATATGATTACAAAAGAAAAGGTTGGATGACATGATGTTTGGCCATTGACAAATGAACATGCAATCATGGAGTTTTGGGCATTTTGCATTGATTTAAATCACAAGTTGTATGCTTAAGTGTCTGAACTTGTATGCATCATCGAACTACTCGATCTCTTGGATGGATTCAGTCTCGGGTTCGGCTTTGGAAGATAGAAGTACTGTAATTTTTGCCTTATATTTATTCATGTCATGCATCATCTTACCCACATTGTGCAATATGTAGGAGTTCAGTGTATGTTGCACACAGTGGCGGAGCCAGAGATTTTTCAGAGGAGGGGCATACTTAAGACTAAGAATTTTGTGTCTTTGCTCAAAACTTAATAATAAAAACAATAAAAGCTTAATACATTAGCACATATTAGATCATTACATACTGATTGATTTATGTCTATAATCTCGGTAGATCAATTTTATAATTTGTTCAAAATGTTGTATAATAACTTTATGTTGGAAAAACACGACCCTAGCCTTTTTCAAGATCACGAGCTCATAGACTCTTGTACACTTATATATCCACACACTCACAATACGAAGACTAGATCTGACAATATCACTTTGTATTATTCCCATTCACTTTTTGTATATGAGACTACTTCAGTCTACCTAAGTTGATCACATACACTACGTCAAACGATACCTTTGAGCCTTCTTTTCTCACAAGAAGACTTTCACTCTCCTCTTTGAAGAAGACTCTCACTTTCACTCGCTCAAGAGCTCTCATCAATGTTCTCATATAAATGAGAAGCTTCTCTATAAATCTCATCAAAGTTTCTCCAGAATTTTTTATACACCACTACACATCTAGATTCTTCCAAAAAGTATCCACAAGCTTCTCTTATCTTTTGGAAGTATTTAGAAAACCACACAATTCTTCAAAATGCTCTAGAGGCTTCCACATGATTTTAGTAAGCTCCACATTTCTCTAAAAAAAAAACCCTACATTATTATTCTAGAACACTCAACACTTCTCTACACACATATATAGAATCTTGGATGCTTTAAAAATTCTAAAATTCTCATGAATTTCTCCACCAAGGAGGGAATCCAACATAGTCTCGAGAATGTTTTGATGATATTTTTGTTACAAGAAATGTGACAATATATTCGTCATACGCAACACTTTCTTGCTCACTATAACCACGAAAAGCTAAGACGTGTGTCATTTAATGTTTAAAACAATCCACACTTGCATTCAAATGAGTGTGGTATGCTACAGTCAATACTTGTATTCTTAGAGACACGTACGTTTCCTGAAAGACTTTGTCTTTTATTTTAACACTTAACCTAAAATTATCCTTAAATAGTATTTATTTTTGAAAAAAGGAGGGGCATTAAATATATTATAGGTAGTAGTACTAAAGAAATTTGCCCGAAGCGGGGGCGCTTGCCCCCTCATGCCCCTCCCTAGCTCCTCCACTGGTTGCACACCCCCCCCCCCCCAGGCATTATTTTTAATAACTCCATATTAATTTTCTGTTTTGTTCCATAATGTGTGAAACATGGGGTTGATGTAGTGTTTTTGCGATTCAAAATAGGATAAAACTACATGAGATGCTCATTATAAGACCATGTTATGTTTACATAGTTGCAATTCATTTCCGGTACAAAAAGAAACACAGATGTAATGCATATTGAGCCATTGGTAATTTGTCGCCAGAAATCGCCCAGTACCATATATGGTAAGGCCTCGGTGCCGAGTGCATTTTGAGCCATATATATGTGCTATAAAAGTATGGGCTATGTGAGGAATTGTGTTATTATGATATAATAATGACAGGTATATTATCAAAAACAGAAATTATCCATGAAAGTATGACCCTAATGCGTAGTGACAATATTGATTGGTGTTGTGTAGCGCGTATTGTGGTGGAGGGGCCACTGATCATTTAATTGCATTTTTTCTTGAGTATCATTTTAGTAATAATTTAGAAACCTATTACTGCAGTATTAGACTATTAGTAATGTATGACATATACCTCAAGCCTATCCAATATCCATAGCTTCTACTGCACCATCCCCATTGGTATAGGATTCTATGTACATCAAGGGATTGATTGTAGACTACTTCATAAGGAGAATCCTTCCAATAGCTGAATGCTGAATGGTAATTAATGTTATACCATCAATCAGCTAAGGAAATTCATTTTTGCCCATTCCTTGGGTTTTTCTCCTGTCATGCACCCAAGACCCAAGTCCCAAGGTAAGTTTGTAAGAACTTATTTACCACTTCAATTTTTCTGTTTGTGTGTGGTAGGTAGTGCTTTGGAATGATCCGGCAAATTAGCAAAATCTATGACTATAATGTATTAGTTAGATTCCTCACCGCCAGCGGTCACCGCTGCTATTGCTTGAGCCCAAATTAGAAAGGGTGGTGCTGGCAGACTCTTCAGTTAGTTCTCTATTGCAAGTTTGCAACTTTGCAACAATGTGTGTATCTTTAGCATCCATCAAAAACTTTATTTTATGTATTAAAAAAAGCAATTTATATTTACTTGATGGTTCTATTAAAAAAAGTTAGATTCCTAACAATTCGGTACAATCCAAATTCTAAGGTTAAATCAATTCGGTGCCATACTATTTTCACATGGTCCAAAATGATACCATGTAATGACAAACTTGCAATTAGTATATTACAATGCCCAAGTAATTACATCATATCACCCGGTTCACTTTTGTCTTTAAGTTTGGAAATATTGAAATAATACAACACAATTAAGTACAAATATAGCAACATAATGATACGCCAGAATACCAAATATACATTATCTTCATTAGATTTACGTGAAAACATAAAAAGAATATCATCAAACTATTAAATATAATAGAAAAATCTATCATTCTTCTTTATTTAGGTTGAGTGTTAGTTCTAAATTTGTAATTCATAATTGCACCATGACTATATTAATTATGTTACGTACAAAGATTATACAAATATGATCCAACAAATAGTCATATACGCTACATTACTAGAAGTTAATAGTATTTATATAAAATTATAAACTAAATTAACCAAAAGAAATGAATAACATAATTTATATAAACATACACATTGAACTACTTTAAGGATGAATGAAAGCATACTTTGACTATAAAATTGTTGGTCTGCATACGAATAACAGAATCAAAGGTTTTTCTATGCTTTCGCTCTTTTTCAATTTCTGTTTTCAAAGAATTTGGTCTGGCTTCTTCATTGGCCGAGAATTTTGTCCGCTTCATGTGAGCGTGTAGTATGTTATTCTCCTAGCAATGTCTAGAGGCTGTGCGTTACTAATCGGGGTAATCGATCTGGTGAAGCTTTTTCAACCTTGTTGTTATGATGTTTCAAATACTCGCCCACCACCTGAACCACCGCCTCACTCTGGGAAGAAGAAGATGATCAAGCGGATCTCCTTTTCGGTTGCTGGTCAAACCGATGCTTCAAGAAATTTCTACTCGACTGATTTCCCTTTGTTGGTTGCTGGTCAAACCAATTCTCCCTTTCCGATGGCTGGTGAAGCCGGATCTTTTAGTTATAATTTTTTAATTTCTCTTTGGAGTAGCAAGAAGATCAACAAGGCTGTTAGACTAGACTACATTATTGCGGGGTTAGCGATCTAGAAGGATTCATTGAATCTGTTCCGTTCTATGTCTCATCCCATTGTAGCCTCAGGCTATTCATTCTCTTGTATTTTTGCTATCGCTTAATAATTAATTAATTAGTTATTTGATTTTCAAAAAAAAATAACAGAATGAAAGCATAATTATATGGATGGAAAATATAGAAAAATCTCAAATGTATTATTTTAGAACGGGCTAGTTCGGTATTTTTTGTTTCTTGAAATCTAAAACTGGTCTTGTCCCCGTTTCAAACGATACGGTATGGTTTTCGTTCGGGATAAAAATCTCTAGAACTATTTAAATAGATGCACTCACTATTCGGTTCTATACCATGCACTGTTATGTATCACATTGCCATCAAGCAAGTTCATTCATGAGAAAGCCATAAAGATTCCCGAGACTCATTGATCTGCCTCTTATAGCCCTCTACAGACATCTATTTTAGCATTCTCAGTGAAGGCAACAGAAAAAATGGTTATAGGCAGCAATATTCGATGAGGTGTGGCAGTTGGTGGCACCCAACATTTATTTTCTCCGGATTTTAACTTTGAGAGCCCAATGAAGCTTCCCCTCAGGCAGAGGGATGGACCTAGGCAGGCGCAGTGGCACTTCAAACTCGCCTAAAGAGGACAAGGGAGAGGGCAAGTGCACATTCTCAGCTTCTATGCTAACTGAAAGCTGTCTTGCGACCTGAATAAAGCCAAAGACTCAAAGAGATTTAGGACAACGCAACTACAGTTACCTGGGTAATTCACAATTGTTCATTACAACTAAATTTCCAATTACATTCTGGTGACGTGAATATACCAAATAAAATTAAAAACAATGAGCTAACTCTGCCCTCAAGACCGTGTCAGGATTAAGGAATAACTACTTACAGAATGGCATCATACATCTCATTCCATAGAATTACTTCTTCCATCCCAATATACATCTCTGATTTTGTATATCAAATTTTATAACATATATCAAATCAGTTTTTGCGGTTCATTAAGTTTTTTATGTAGTTCCTAAATAAGTGAATTTTAATTATCCATACTTATTTTATTATTACTAGAGGACAGTTAAATTTACCTTCAGTCTCACTTACAAATCGTAAATAGAAATGAGAAGTTAATATGGGACTGGGGGATTACTATCTTTTTTCCAAAGTTTGAGAGCAATCAAACTTTTACACATACACTTTCAGCTTCACAGAACACTGTAAATGCGTCGAACAAGCAAAACCATAATAAGGATATAAAGAAGCAGAAGACAGTTATAGTACAGGACACTTGCTAAAAGAAGATTACCTCTGCTACAATTTCTTCTTTAGTTACGGGTTCACGTATCTCATTGTCAACTTTGATGAATTTCCTCAGAACCTAAAACAGATGCAGGTCATATTTAAGAAAAATATGTCTGTTGGCAGAAATAAGTTGCAAAAAGTGCAGTACAACAGAGAGCCATTGTTTAACACATGCACAACCTGACCATTGACCATTCCATGGCAAAGGCAAAAATATTTTGGCAAGATACTCACCACCATAGTTCTATCAAGGCGGTTGGCTGCTGCCTGGTATTCTTTCATCTTATCTTCGTTGGTTTGTGGAATGACATTAACCTTTACATCTTCTTTGGGTTGGTAAATCTGGCCAAGATGATATGCAATTATGTTTAAGTATTAAGATTATGCATAGCACATATACCGTCAAACCACATACAATGTGGAAGGAAAAAATTTTGGACAAGCACTTTTTCTGGTTTAGTGGAAGAAAAAAAACATGTTTTCCATATAAGGTCACAAGTTTGTTAAATTGGCCTGTAATTTAACTTGGTTTCGTGGAAAAAAAATAGAACGCGTTTATTTGAAATTTGATACTACCTTCACCCCAGGAAAACAGCATGTTCCACACTCACTAATGTCTGAGGTAGGGGAAAAGTTTTAAATTTTAGAAAGGTACAACTATTGGAAACCATCAATTCTAGTTATATTTTAAAATTTATATGTTTGCTTAGCTAAATTTAACATACTTAATTTGTTTGGGACGCTTGGAAGAAAAAAATACATCACATATCACGAAATTCAGCTTCTGTTGTTTAAAAGGACCATTTTGTAATTCAAAATTAGTTTTCAAATATGACTGTTTTGGGACCTTAACAGAAATGGCAAACATTAGTATTACTGCACCAAAAATAAAAAATAATCAAAAACAGCAGTTATTTTGATAGTTCCAGAAACCTTGCTCTGATCTTTGAGGAGATGCCTGTACTTATCAATGTTAGGGACAGCAAGCAACTTTGGCATCAGATGGTTCCGGAAAAAACCAGGTGCGACTTTGACCGTATCACCTGCTTTCCCAAGCTTCTCAATGCTCTATTACACAATGAAACTAACAATAAGTTAAATAGATTTAAAGGATGTATGAGAAACTATAGGATTTTATCAAGAAGAAGAAGCGGGCCCACATTAGTGAGAATAACTTCCAATTTTCTGTAGCGGAGACCTTGAGCGGCATAGAACAATGGATGGTGGATCCCTCCATCCGGAACAGACAGCTGGCGGCGGATGACATTTCTACCAATTTGAGCAAATGCCATTATTGAAGATTATCAAAATTGAACGGGAAACCTTTAGTTATATGGAAAACAGAGTACAGCGTCGTGCAGTGTTTTCGATAGGAAGACTGAGGGCAGGGCCGGTCCTGAGAAATTGGGGACCCTGTGTAATTCCTTCGTTCAAAGCTTCAGACTTGGGGTTCCCTTCGTTCGTACTTCGTTCTGTTTCAAAGCTAAGCTTCGGAACCTGGGCTAGTGGGCTGAGTAATACAACTATTAATTTTCCTTTGGGCCTTCGAAAATTTTGGGTCGAATGGGCTGGATGCACATGTCCAGAACCGGCCCTGACTGAGGGAAGAACACAGAAGAATTAGTGATGGCAACGGGGCGGATCGGGGACGGGTACACATAAAACCGGAACCGCCCCGTTGGATAAATGTTTGCCCCAAAACCGCCTCATTACCATTCGGGTAATTTTTATTTGAACTGTACCCGCCCTAACGGGGAATCGGTTTATCCACGGGTAACCGTTTCCCCAAATGATACCAAATAACCAACTTTTTTTGGGAAAACAAATAATCAATTTTTAATCCTACTTGTTATTTATATATTCAAAGCACCTTAAAACATACAAAAATAAACATTTAAGCAATCAAGCAGACTGACCTAAATTCATTAGTATGACATGCACCCAATATCTCTTGTAACATAATAAAGAAGTAGTAGTCATCCCAAGATCCAAATTTCAAAAATAGGTTTAGGCCTATATTTAGTTTTAGGCCTAAAAAAGTAGTATACTTTTTAGCATTATTTATATGATATATACTATTTATTATACACAATTTAGCATATATAGTTATTATTCTTATATATAAAAAGTTATAATTTATTAATAATGTTATCGATCGGGTAACGGGGTGGATTAGTATAGAACCATAACCGCACCATTAACCATTTAAAAAATTCGGGTATTCCCCGCCCCGTATCCATTCCCCAGTCAAACCGGTTTTCCCCAGTTTGACCAAATCGGTTCGGTGCGGGTATCCAACGGGTCGGTCGAAATTGTCATCTCTAAGAAGAATCGAGGCACGTAGGGGTGTGCACAATTGGGTAAACCATATACGTAGTAATATACTACGCAGTATTTATATATTATATATAATATATTTAAATATTTATTTTAAAACAATTAAATAAATATTGTTGAACAATGTCTTTTTGGTATTTCGGTTTACCGATTATCAAACCGAATTTTTTTCGGTTTTTACCGAACCAAACCGATTTAGTTCGGTTCCGTATGGGAATATGCAAAACCGAAATTTTGGTTTACCGAAATTTCGGTTCGGTTCAGCTCCGTATTACCAAATGAAAACCCATGGAGGCAGTGAGGACTGGGGAGTAGGGTTGAACGTCGGACGGGTTCGGGTCGGGCGGGTGGGTGAATCCAAGACCCTTTCGGATTTCGGATGTGTAATATGTACATCTTATCCTGTGTTTTTTGACTTGGATATTTTCGGGTTTTTTAAATATCGGGTTAGGGCGGATTCGGATCGAGGATCGCGTTGAGTCGGTTTTATTTTCAGACCTATAAATCTAAAATAATGAATTTAGCAAGAAAACGATATGTTCAAAATTGCAAAACATAATTTGATTCTCATACAATATGATACTAGCCTTCTACTACAAAGTAGATAGTAGGGAGGAGATCAAAATTGAAACATAGAATTTGATGATACTACAAATTACTTGATTATACAATTCGTTAACATCCAAAGTTCCAACTAGGCAAAATTAATACATCCCAATTTCCATTTTTCAGCCACTCCACTCAGGCTCCTTGCTTGAAGACTTGAAGTTACACAACTATTTTCCACAGTTTGAGGTTTCCACCTGCATACAAATATGAAAATGTACAATAGCATGGATAAGTTAATGAACACATGTATTGATGTAGACATGTAGTACAATAAGTCAATAACAAGGATAAGTTAATGAAACAAATCAAAAAATCACTAGATCAGAATGTGTAAGAAATAAATTGTATTTAGATTTTGATGATGCTAGACTAATTAGGATATTAGAGTACCCCTTTAGAAAATATGTATTAGAATCTTTCATATGTAAGTACTTAGAAGTTATCGACGGACCAAAAGACCTAGGTCTTATGCCTCGACTGCTGGACAGAAGTGCTCAAGAGATCTTCGTGGACTTAGCCGTCCACAGAAGTAGTGTTCCAGAACTGCTTGCACTTGGGAATTCTACACAAGCTACCTAAGTCGTCTAAAGTCGTCTATTGTAACGTTAATTCCCCAACAGCTAGGAGCCTCTCAACGGAAAAGCTACAGTATGCGCAATAAATGCTCATTTAATGAGCTCCACACGTTGAGATATTTAAAGCTGATGATTGACCAAGGATCCAGACGAATAATACTTAATACGCCCCAAAATAGCAAGTAATCTACTTTATGGAACCAACCGGTCACATCAACAATACAAGCATTTAATGAAGATGTTTTCTACACTCCAACGGGAAGACATCTCTCAGTATTTATGATACACCTCGAAGGACTGGGCGAACTACGAACCTTACACCTTGCATTCAAGCTATCAAACTCTCTTGAGACTTCATCTTCTACTATTTTACAAGAGATCAAGCTTGAAGTTGGAAAAGATAGGGCCTGTTTACTAACAGAGATATTTTCCTGTTTTCTACTTCTGTTTTTCGTTCTCCAATTTTCTGTTTTTATTTTTCAGTTTTTCTATCTCCAATTTTCTGTTTCTATTTTTTAGTTTTCCATTTTCAAATCTGAAAACATGTTCATCAATTTTTTTACCCAGATCTTCAATTCCACACCCTTGACCCCTACCCTTACCACGATCTTGCACTCTACCCATACTCCCCCACAACCCTTCATACCCACCCATACCTACTCGTAGCGGTCGGGGTAGGGAAGTTATGGGTGGGGGTGGGGTATGGGGTATGGTCGGGGTGGGGTGGTAAGGTCCAGGGGTTGGGGGTTGGGTGGGGGTAGTGGGTGGGTTAGGGTCGTGGTTAGGGGTAAGGGTGGGGTAGTGGGTAGGGTTTGGGGTAAGGTAGAGGTAGGGTATGGAGTTGGGATAGGATGGTGGTAGGATGGGGCCGGGACCGGGGTGGGGCCGAGGTAGGGAAGGGGTGGGGGTAGGATGGCGGTAAGGGAGGGGGGTAGTGGGTAGGGTTGGGGTAAGGTAGGGGTAGTGGGATAGGATGGCGGTATGGTGGGCCCGGGATCTTGGTGGGGCCGAGGTAGGGGAAGGGTAGGGTGGGGGGTAGGATGGTGGTAGGATGGCGGAAGTATGGGTGGACTCGAGCCGGTTCGAGCCTGGGTCGGGACTCCGGTTCAGGAATGGGGGCCCGGAACAGTGCCGGTTCCGGGTCGGGCCACCCAGCCCGAGTCCACCCCTAGGCGGAAGGGTGCTGGTAGGATGGCGGTATGAGGGTGGGGGTAGGATGGCGGTGGGACCGAGGTAGGCGCATGTGGTAAGGGGTAATATACGGGTGGGGGTAGGGTAGGGTGGGTCGGGGTGGGGTCGAGGTGGTAGGGGGTGGCGGTAGGGTGGATCGGGGTGGGGCCGAGGTAGGGGCATGTGGTAGGGGGTGGGGTAGGGTCATTATAGGGAAAAATGGGTATGCGGGGTTGGGTTGGGTGGGTAAGGTAGGGTAGGGTAGGGGTAAGGGGTAAGGTACGAGGATGGAGGTACCGGAATGGAATCGACATTGGAGCGGGACTGGACCCACCATTAGGTGTACATATGCAAATTCATTGCAGCGGCATTGTAGCATCTGCGTTTTCCAAATTTGGAAAACTAGTAAAAGTCATTTCTCTAAATCATTAAGGAAAAGAGAGACATGTCTCATTTTTTCCGTTTTGGAAAAAGATTTGGTAAACGCGTTTTTCTTTTTTCCTTTCCAGTTTTCTAGGAATTTCTTTGGTAAACACGTTTCCTGTTTTTTGTTTTCCAGTTTTCCAGTTTTCTGGAAAACTGGAAAATATCTTTGTTAGTAAACAGGCCCTTTTATTTTTACAAAGGAACTTCTTGTTTAAGAAGTACGTCTCAAAGTAACTCAAGTAGTGAAGTGGGGATACATAATAGAAGCTCAGTGAAACGAGATCAGTCACCAGGAAGCAAAGAAGTGCATCCCGAGTGACATCTAGGCTTGAAGAAGACGTGGAGTGCTTCTCAGGTGCTAGTGACTAAGTGTTGTAATCTGTCGTTTTACAAGCTCAGTGGAAGAGTGACTTAGAGGAACAAATTGTTCCTTAAACCACTACAAAAAATCCTGGTGTCATTTACTTACTGCTTTTAATTCTTGCACTTAGATTCTAATTGATTATCTCTAAAAGGCTTGGACTTTGTGTTCAACAAATCTCGCCTTAAGAGTTAACAGAAATGCAACATTGCCAAGGATATTCTGTACAAAGAAATTGATGATCGGTACTTCACCAGAATTAAGAAGTGCGCTATCGTCAAGCAAATATGGGATACTCTTATTCTCATAGGAGCTGGAGATGAACAAGAGAAGGACAATAAGCTAACCATTGCCATGAAGAAGTTTGATGAATTAAAGGTTCGACCAAACGAGTGCATAGCTGAGATGTATGCACGTCTGCTCACCCTCACGGCTGAGATCTCTGAGCTTGGGAAGGAACTACCTTCTAAAGAAGTCAATCTGAAAGTTTTGAGAGGTCTGCCCTCACCGTGGACGATGAAGGTTATAGCCATGAGAGATAGCAAAGGTCTCTGAACGTACAGCACAGAAAAACTCATCTCAGATCTTAAATCTTTTGAGTTCGAGATGAATGAAGAAAAGGATGAATCAGAAGAGAGGACAACTACCACTTTCACTGCAAGTACATCGAAGGTAAATGACTTTGACCCTTCAATTCTTTTATCTGATGAATATATAGCTGCCTTTGCAAGGAAGTTCAGGAAATTTATGAAGCCCAGAGATGGAAGAAGTCCATCCTCAAGCAGACGACCGTACCAGAAACCATGGTCTTCTGATAGCAGTGGAGAATTTCTGTGCTACAAGTGTAGACATCCAGGTCATTTCAAAGCCAATTGCCCTCATTCTATTATGTCCAAGAGGCAAGGACAAGGGGGAGACAAGAGGTTTGATCACAGTGCCAGAAGAAGGAAGACACTTATAACCGAGCAACCTAAGAAGGATCCCCTCTCTGAGACAGAATCCAGCTCTAA